GGCGCGCAAGCCAGGAGGGGGGGAGGGGAGAGGGACAGGAGGGGCACAGGTGTGGGCGACAGGCAGTTACAACCAGCGTGTGGGGAGAGGAGGAGCGGGCCTGGGGGCTGGGGCTGGGGGCTCACCATGTCTTGATGGAGTCCCGCAGCCGCTGCAGCTTCTTGATCTGGTCCTTGAGCTGCACCCATCGGCGAGGCGCGGGCAGCAGGGGCCGGCAAGGCTGGCGTGAGCGCAGGTCCGGAGCGCGGTGCACTGGCGAGGCAGCAGCGCATCGCGCAGCCTGCTGCCCTGCCTGCAGCTGCGTCAGCGCAGCACCACGGGCGTGGATCCCACGAGCAGCACAGCGGATGGAGGCCCCCCCTGGCAGGCACCGTCCCAGCCAGCAGCACGCGCCTGCGACTCCAGCTTCTCCCGCGCATTGGCGTTGGCCGGGTCGGTGGTGTCATACTGCTCCTGGTGGTCGTCAAACACCTCCAGACCCTCCTGCACCTTCTTCAGCGTTTTCTCTGCATCCAGGCGGCCCACCACCAAGCCGCCGCAGGCGGCAGGTCAGGCGGGGCGGCCACGTGCCAGACGGGGCAGCGGCAAGCGGCGAGGGGGTCGACGGCGCTGGGCACCCAGCCCCGCCACTCCCAGCCGCTCCCATCGCGGCGTGCCAATGTTGCCAGGGCCTCCGTTGCGCGGGGCGGGGCTTGCAAGCGCGGATCAAGGGGGGGCGGGGCTGACGACACCCACGGCGCCTCACGTCTATTTCCTTGCAACTTGCAGTCAAGACAATGCGCCTGGGGCGCTCCTCACCTATTTCCTGCTGCAACTTGCGAAGTGACGACATTGCTACCGAGTTTGCACCCGCTGGCGGGCGGGGCGGCTTCCTGCCTGGCCTGCTTCTGTCGGTTGCGGCCCAGCGGCCCCCCAAATGGCCGCCAACCCGTGCAGTACAGGCGGGGAGGCGGTACTCGGATGAAAACGAAAACGCAGCCCCCTGTCGCATCGCCACACGCTGTACCGCATCTCCACTGTCCGCGCTGCCCTCTTGGGTGCCTCACACGGCGCTTTCGGCTAACAGCCCAGCGTTTGGGGCAACAAGATGGCGGACTGAGCCTCTAAGCGCTGGCCATTGAACCCTGGAGGTGTGCCACAGCATATTCACAGCTCCACGGACCCAACGTGCGGGGTGAGACGGCGCCAGGCTTGAAACATGACCCAGCAGGGGCAGGCCATCCTCTCCCACCCCGTCAGCACCACCAGCCTGGGGGCCTCGGGCCAGCCAGAGTCGCGGGGCGATGCGGGCGGGCCGGAAGTGAGCTCCCAGGCGGCGCCGCCGCCGGCGCAGCAGCTGGCGACAGCAGCGCCGCCGGTGGTGCGGCCGCTGCGCCTGCCGCCGCCGCCACCCAATGGGCGGCCGCCGCTGCCGCGCGGCGCGCCGCCCTCCTCGGCCACCTCCAGCCGCGCCTCGTCGCCGCGCAGCGCCGTTTCGGCGCAGCCCAGCCTGCAAACCCTCAACATGGCCCGCCTGGCGCAGTACAGAGGTGGGCGGTGTGTGCGTGGCGGCTCTCGTATGACGCGGCTGCCTGTTGAGCCTATGTGCGGCTGTGTAGCTGCTGCTTTTGCCTGCGTGGGTAGCTGCTGTTGTGAGAGTGCACTCCGGCGGCTCTGTGGTCGCATTCACCCTCCTTGCCCTGCCTCGGCCGCGCTGGCGTGCAGCCGCCTCGCGCACCTTCAAGCCTGATGCCCAGCCGCGCAAGGGGCTGTCCACCGGCGACGTGGTGGCCCTGCGGGCGCACGGCAAGCTCTTGGCGGTGACGGAGCTGAGCAGCGATCCCGCAGAGGCCAGCACCGTGCACTTTGGCCTGCAGCCCTCGGAGCAGGCAGACGCCAGCGACAAGCACACGCACCTGGAGGTCATCCGCCAGGCAAGCAGGGGGGGAAGAGGGTTGATGGCTGGCGGCGACAGGAGGGCGGCGGTGGGGGCTGCTGGCAGGGTCGATGGTGTTTGTGCACCTGCATAAGCCCGAAAGCGTCCCGGCAGCCGCGCCAATCGGCAGCCAACCCCTCGCCCCCCCTTGCATTGCCCCTCTGTACTCTGCCCTGCAGGGCAAGTGGGTGGGCTTCCGCTCCGCCGCCGCCGGCGACCGCTTCCTGCAGGCCCGCAAGCGCAGCCCCAACCGGCTCGTCTTCTTCAGCCAGAACGTGGGCACCTGGGAGCAGTGGGAGGTGGCGGCGGGGGCCCCCGACCCCGACGCCTGCGACTGGTCCGCCCTCTCGCTGGCCCTGCGCCACCGCCGCCTGCCCCAGTTTGAGCTGGCTGTGGAGGTGGTGCGGGTGGGCACCTACACCCTGCCCCCCAATGCCGCCCTCACGCCCCGCACGCTGCTCCCGGCCGCCGACGCGCTGGGCGGCGCGGCGGCGCTGGCGGGCGACGCCGGCGCCGACGAGGAGCCCGGCTTGGAGCGGCGCGAGCTCAAGCGCATGTCTGGCGTGCTGGTGCATGTGAGACGCAGCGCGGCAGGCCTGGGATGTTGTGCGCTGCCCCGCTTGTGCCTGTTCTGGGATGGCATGGCCAGGCTGAGCGGCATGCCGCCAGGTGTGCACAGGCGCCAGCAAGGCCTGCCTCTGCCTGTGCGGCTGCCTGCCGGCCATGGGGGTGCAGGAGTGGTTGCACTATGTGGATCAGGAGAAGGCGGCGCGGCTGGCCATCGAGGCCCGCCTGGCGCAGATGGCGGAGGATGCGGCGGGGCTGCGAGACTGGGCTGTCATGCAGGTGGGTGAGGCGCCAAGCAAGGGAGCCAAGCAAGCAGCCGGCTGGCTGGCTGCACGCTTGGATGCCCAGTGCTTTGCCCCCTGCTTGCTGCCCGCCAACACCACCCTGCCGCGCACCCGCTCCGCTCCCTGGCCTGCCCTGCCGGTGTCCCACCTGCGCCCGCTGCCGCCGCCGCCGCTGCCACGCCTGCAGGTGGACAGCGTGCGGCGTGAGATGGGGGAGGAGGTGGAGGCGCTCCTGGAGGCGGTCAGGCGCAAGAGCGCCAAGCTGGCAGATGCCGAGGTGCGGCTGACGGGGCGGCTGCGCTGGGGCGTGGCCATGATCCAGGCCAAGAGCGAGATGGGCATCAAGCGCCAGACGTTCATGTGGTGGAGGTGAGGCAGTGGCGGGTGGGGGCGCGGCGGGGCGGCCTGGCACCCTGCGCAGCGGAACAGCAGCTGCCGACAGACGCTGGTGGCGAGCCCAAGCCTCGAGCCCGAGCCTGCAGGTCACCTGCTGACGCCATCCTGGGCCCGCCTTTGCCCCACCCCACCCTCCCCTGCCCCCCGCTCAGGTGGATCGCCGCCCGCCGGCGCTACTGCCGCCACGTGGAGTCCAAGCTGGCGCAGCGCAGCGACCTGCGCCTGCTGGGCAGGGCGGTGCAGGGCTGGGCGCAGTGGCGGGAGGCGCAGGCGGCGGTGCAGGCGCGGCTGCGTGCCGCAGTGCGCCGCATGTACCTGGTCAAGCTGCACCACGCCTTTGCAGGTGGGGGTGGTGTGATGTGGTGTGGTGGTGGTGGCGGGGTGTGAAGGGAGGGCTCAACACTTGAGTGAGCTGCCAGCTGCATACATCTGCCACCTGCGCCTCACCTGCCCTGCCACCCCCTTGCCCTGCTGGGGTGCAGCCTGGAGGAACCTGGTGGCCTGCAAGCGGCAGCAGCAGGAGGACCAGGCGGCGCTGGTGGAGGCAGTGTGCCAGCACGTGCAGCGCTGGCGCCTGCGCCGCCTGCTGCGCGCCTGGCAGCAGCATGCGGCGGGCTGCGGCGCCGGGCGGCAGCTGCTGGAGCGCATGGCCTGTGCGGCGCAGCGCCGCGAGGTGGCCTCTGCCTTTGCCGCATGGAGCGCCCACACGGCGCGGCAGCGGGAGCGGCTGGCCGCCTTCTGCTCCTCGGCTGCGACGCGGCGTGCACAGCGTGCGCAGCGTGGCGCTTTCCACGCCTGGCGCCTACAGGTGGAGGACGAGCGCGGCGCCTGCCTGCAGCTGCAGCACGCGCGCCAGGTGCTGGCGCGGCGCCGCCTCCACGCCGCGCTGCGCGGCTGGCAGGACTGGCGGCGGCAGCGCGCCGACCGCCGTGCCCGCTGGGACGCCACCATCGCCTACATGGTGCAGCGGGGCGCAGCGCTGCGCCTGGACGCCGCCCTGGCTGCCTGGCAGGAGCACGTGGCGCAGCAGAAGGAGCGGCGGGCGGTGTTCTACAAGTGAGCGAGTGACGGAGGGAGGGAAGGAGGGAGGGAGGCTGCTGCGGGCCGTCTGCTTGACGCTGCTGGTTGGCCTGTCCAGGCCCTGCCGGGCAGCCGGCATTGTTTTGCCCTGCCGCAGAGCCTTGCCCTGCCCCTGCCCCACCCCGCCCCGCCCTGCCTGCAGCGCAGTGCAGCACCTGGCGCTGCACCGGATGGCGCTGGCGCTGCGTGGCTGGCAGTACGTGGCGGCCTGGCACCAGCACGTGCGCGCGGCGGTGGAGACTGCGGTGGCACGCGTGTCGCGCCGCGCGCTGGCGCAGGCCTGGGCTGCCTGGCAGGAGCGGGTGACGGAGCACCGGGTGGCTCGCCACCGCATCGCCGTCTGCCAGCGGCGGCGCCAGCTGGGGCTGCAGCGCGGCGTGGTGGGCGCCTGGCGCCACGCGGCGGCGCTGGCCGGCGCCGAGCGGCAGATCGTGCAGCTGTGCCAGAAGCGTGCCGACCGCAACAGGTGGGGGTGCAGCGGGGGCAGTCTTTGTGCCTGTGCTTGGCCTCCTGCGTGTTTGCCCCTTGGGCAGCCAGCAACCTGGTGCGCACTGGCCTGGCCTGGCTCCCCGGGCTGCAGGGTGGCGCTGGCGCTGGCGGCGCTGCAGGCCCACGCGGCCGAGGCGGCGGCGCGGCGGGAGCGCGGCCAGCTGGCGGTCAGCTGGTACGCCGAGGCGCTGCAGGCGCGGGCGCTGGCTGCCATGGGCGAGGCTGTGGCGCGGCGGCGCCGCTTCGAGCAGCAGCTGGTGGCGGTGGCGCGGTCGGTGCAGCTGGGGCAGGCGCGGGAGGCGTTTGCTGGCTGGCGCGCCGCCGCCGCCCTGTCAACCTCCAAGGGCCAGCTGGTGGCGGCGGCGCGCCGCCGCTTG